GTTCTTTGCTGAAGGCAGACGGTTCTGAGGTAGGTTTCGGCTCTTCAGAAGCATCTTCAGATGAGGTATGAAATCCCTTTGCATTACGAGAATTCCGATTGGCTGAAAATATTTTAGTTGGCTTCCCGTGTAGCTTCCAACACTTGGCTTTAGTGTGTCCCGGCTTGTTGCAATGCTTGCAGATTGGCCGATCTCTGTCGTTCCGACGATTGTTGCGACGTGGTGGCTGACCCGAGAACAAGGCAGAAGACTCGGTGGGATTTGATGAGTGGCCTCCAAGTATGACTGTCCGCCGACTCTCCTCTCGTCTGACTTTGAAGAAGACTTCTCTTGTGCTTGGTAGTGGTTCACGACCAAGAATGCGCCCTCTGACTTTATCCAATTCCTTGTTAAGGCCGACTAAGAATTCGAAGACGCGTTCTTTTTCCACCATCTTCTGGAATAAAGTCCTATCCTTAGAACAACTCCATTCATAGTCACTGAACATGTCAACCTCTTGCCACAAGGTCTTGAGGTTGGTGTAGTATTGAGTGATAGTTTTTCTCCTTGTTTTAGCCTCCATAATAGAGTTTTTAGCTCAAACCAATGTCCTGCATTCCCGAGATCAGAATATGTCTCGTTCACAGCATTCCAAATGTCATGAGCAGTAGGTAGGAAGAGATAAGTTCTCCCTACACTCGGATCCATGGAATTTATGAGCCAAGGCATAACCATCGAGTTTTCTGCCTCCCGTCTTTCAGATTCTTCATATTCTTCGGCAGGTTTCGTAGTGGTACCTGAGAGATAGTCAAATTTTCCATGGCCACGAATAAACAGTTTCACAGATTGTGACCACTGTAAGAAATTATTTCCATTCAACTTATGAGAAGTGATGGATATGTTTTGGAAGGATTCAGTGTTTAGGGTGATACCAGAGGTATCATCGTAGGGTTTGGCCATTTAGGCTCGGATACCATTATAGTTGGAAAAAAACTTGTTCCGAATGAATCATATTTATTTCTGTCGAATATGGATGACTTAAATAGAGTTTACAATGTAATAACTTTACATAAAAAGATGCATAAAATTAGCAACAGAATAAAATGGATTCTATCTAATTAAAACTGATCCTGTCTAATAACTAACAGAATAAAAACTGGTTCTATCTAATTAAAATTGATCCTATCTAATAACTAACAGAATAAAATATCTAGTTAACAATCCTAATATTTAATTTAGATATTCTTGACAAATATTCTTGTGACTTTTGATGAATTTCCTTCCAACCGGAGCAGTCTTCATGGATAACGAACTTGCAGAACATTTTTATGAACCAACTCTTGAACTTATCAACTTAAAACCAACCGCAAACCCCTCTCTATCTTCAGTCCTTACTGAATCCTTAACTATAACTGGTGAAGAAGAAAGTCGGCCCATAGTTAGTTGGCAATTTTCTTGATCCAGGCCACTCAATCGATGTTCTCCAAGGCCTATATGAAGCCCAATCTCCTGGTCAACTTTGTCCTGCTTATAGAGATCCCCCCCCCGTACTTTTCTCGCTTCTCTCACTTTCAAAAAGGCCTTTTGACTTTTCATGCTGAGAGGAGACAACTCTCTTGGATTCTGTGATATTACCAAGTTGTGAGCCTAGGACCCATTCAGGCACCCTATTATGGGTTTCTGACATAACCTGACAACCCACGTGACCTCCATGCTGCGCCTGAACATCCTCTAGACTCCAAACGGAGGATCTCTCCACCCAAGGATCTTCTGGAACACCCTCTTCAGCAATTTCTAAAAATTCAGGAAAGATATCATCCCCACCATCAACCTTAATTTTTATCAAAAATTTCCTTCCATTCGTAGTAATAGTAGTATGATCAGGGATGTCAAAAGGACTAACAACCTTGAGAAGCATCTGCGCAACTCTACAATCAACTCTCTGAGCAGTTTCATCTTTGATTTTCACTAACTTACCCCACCTGGATACCACCCTAGTGAAGAACGGAACGGACCAGCAATTTAAAGGAACTCCTATCATGGAGATCGTGCAAAAAGCTCGAGGAATGCTTTCCTCATCCAAAACAGGCTCCAACCTTTCAAACCAGAAAGACAAAGCTTCCCATTTTCCTTCCATCGCTAAAGTCTTCTCCTCCACCGATTGGAACACAACCAGGCACGCATTCTTAGCAAGACCCCACCTCACAACCTTTACGTTGATGCCTTCATTCCTTAATGCTTTCTGCACAACATGAAATTCAAAAATATCTTTGCAAATACCAGTAAGTGACGATCTCAGCCAGACCCTATCCTCCACCGGGATAAAAACATCCTTAGTGTTTTTTGACTCATTCGAATTAAAATGACTTCCTTCTTGCACACCCTCTGACTCTTTAAGCACCCCAACAACTGCATCCTTATAGGACCTACCATCATGAAACTTATCCAACATCTCTATCTTCCTCACCCTTCCAACTGGAGAAGGCAATCTTTTAATCTTTTCCCCACTGATACCAACACTATTTACCCCATAAACCCTCCCATCTATCTTCCTCTTTGACCCAGATAGTTTCTGATATTTGGCTACAGCCACTGAAATCCTCCTCCCATCAATCAAGACGTTGTTAATCTTTTCCACTGCATTACACAGATCCTCCTTGCTTGCAAAATGGACGAACGCAAACGTATTTACCTTATTCTTCGGTCTGTTATTGATAAACGAAATGAAAACCTTAATAACTTTAATAAAATGACTAAAATGATCCCATAAATCACTACGACGCACACTCCTACTAAGATTATCAACGAAAGCTGACCAAGTAATTCCTCCATGAACCTCTCTAAGATTTGCGACAAAAAACTTGCTTTTGGAATACTCTCTCTCTCTCTCTAACTTTCTCTATGTTGTTAACTTGTTATTCCCTAAAAAAAACCTTTGAATCTTCTCTGTCTTAGTTTCTTGCAGCTATAGAAAAGTAGGCTGGATTTGAGCAGTTAAATTCTGAACAACCCTCTTTTTTTTTTTACTAAACCCTTATCATTCCAAGAGCAAATGATTAACTTTGTCTTCATCATTGTAAGTTTGGAAACAAAACATCATCACCTTCAACATCACCTTGAATAAACTTTCTCTAAGAACATGATTTTTTGCAAAAAGGCTTCTTTCCCTTCCTTGAAAGACACCCCAAAAGCTTGCTTACCTCCCATATAGCTAAAGCTTCCTCCAATAAATCTGAGAAAGCTGAAGAGGAGGCTATAGCAATGCTCACATGTTCAAGTGCTTCCCTTAACAGAGTTCTTTTGGCTCTTCTGATGAACAAACCAGATTTGAAACTAAAGCAGTCTTCTTCTGAAAACCATCCTTTGATCTCCCTGTCCACACTCCCGTTCATTGAACCTCTATCAATAGAATCCTTGTTCCCATTGACAATCAAGTCTGCTGCTAAACAAATCTGTTTATTAGCGTTAAAATCCACTTGATTCCCTACCTGAAAAACTGTGACTTCCTCTGATTCGAGCATGAATTTCATGATATTGCCAAACCAATGTTTCCTATCCCTCGACCTCTTGTAGACACTTTTATAACTGCACATACTTCTAGTTTCTAGCAGATCAGTTTTTGTTGTTAACAACCTCTTGGAATGATATAACTGTCTGCCCCTTGAATTATTTTCAGAATTAATAGTGATGGATTCAACCAACCTTAACTCTGCTTCATTAACCTCTGTTCCAGTACCAACAGACTGTTCTATAATTGGGTTTTTCTCCAAAACTTCTTTCATACTGCTGTCATTCTCTACTGAAACATGGTTCTGAACCATTTCCCCAAACTTGTTGATCTTGAATCCTGGTCCAGTAAGAATAAACTTAAAATCTTTTAACCCACCGGAGAATCACTGAAAAAAAAACTTGATGACATACTCGCCGATCCGATCTTGATACAGACTTTAAAGGATCTTCCGTATGCTCTAAGAATGGTCACATCCGGAACATCATAAGGTCTTGCCACCTTCATTAAAATTCTTTCCATTGTGAGGTCTTCTCTTTTCCTAGTTGCATCGTGTAAGCCTACCACAATTCCCCATCTCCCTGCTATTTTCTCGAAGAAAGATTCATTCCAACATAACAAAGGGACCCCAATTAATTCCACCAGACATAACGCCATTGGGACACCCTCCTCATTCAATAATGGTTCCAATCGATCAAACCATAGATCTATATCCTCTTTCCTCTTCATCCATATGTCAATCATCTCCTCGATTGAATTAAAAACTATAACGCAAGAATTCCAGACATGGCCCCATCTAGCAATTTGGACATCAAACCCATCATTAAATAAAGCCTTCTGAATTAACTCAATCTGTAGTGAATGTTTAACAATCCCGGTTAATGACCTTTTAACCCAACTTTAACTTTCCGATGGAATATACATCTCTAAAATGTTTTTCTTGACTTTCCCCCTGTGAAGATCATCGGATAACAAGTCCCTATTCCCCATTGCACTTCTGTTTGACATCAAAACATCTTTTTAAGTTCTGGCATCCCTTATGCTTCTGTTAGAGTTATCTGCCTCTTTGGAGTTTGATATTTGTGCAATAGTCTGACTTGAAACCTTCTGTGAGAAAAAGTTCTTCTCCACTATCCTTGATTGAGCTTGCTTATATCTAACTATAATCTTCCTCTCATCTATCACTACACCATTTAAAACTTCAAAGGCTTTCTTCATACCAAACTCACTTTTAAAATGAACAAAAGCAAAGGTGGAGAATTTATATTTTGGATTTCTTGTTTCTTTGGGAATAAAAACTCTTAAAATAGGACCATGGACTAAGAAAATTTCCCTTAAAGTGCGACGAGATACCCTCCTACTAAGGTTGTCGACGAACGCCGTCCAAATCTCATCGGAAACTGACTTTTCTTTCGAAATCTCTCTCTCTACGTTTTTCTCTTTCTCACTCATTCTCTCTCTCTACTTGATTTGGCTTTGGAATAAGCCTCCATGTCAACTGTTATCTTTTCAGGTGCAAAGCGACCATTTTGATGTTTTTTTTGCCCCTGAGCTGGATAAACATGGGTATCAAGCTTTATATAAGAGGAAGACAAATGAGGTTGCTTAACTCCTTGACTCTCACCTCACTAATTTAGAAATATTACTCTTCTGTTTGTAACTTACATCATTTATGATGCAGGTTTACAGAGAAAATATCCATACAATTGATGGTTGTGCTATATTTTTCCGTAGAGATAGATTTTCCCATGTCAAAAAATATGAGGTTCGTAAGTAGTTCTAACGTGGTATGTGGAGTTTTACATGTTCATGATAAATCAAGTAATGTCTTTCGCAGGTTGAATTTAATAAGGCTGCTCAGTCCTTGACTGAGGTTGCAGTTCAAACTACTCAGAAGAAAGCTTCTTTAAATTGTTTGGTTAAGGTAATAAATGTTTTAAGCTAACTTGGATATATATATGTTCTCTTATGGTATGAGTTCCTCTAAGATATCTTGTAAATTCTTCTTTGTCTGCAGGATAATGTTGCACTAATTGTGGTTTTAGAAGCAAAGTTTACTAATCAGGTAGCTGACAATCCAGGGAAGCGGCAGCTTCTTTGTGTGGTAAGATTCGATAATTTGTCCTTTGCTATATTTCCTGGCCTTCTCTGTTATTGTATGTAATTCACATGATTTTACTTTCATGCGTTATTTATGATCAGAACATGACACCATATTGCTAGTGGTGATTGTTATCGTTTGATCAGTTTTTAGTGGGCATTGGCAAGTTGAGCACTAGTTAATCATGTTGCAGCTGTTCAGCTCTGAGATCAAAAAGATGTTTGGACTATTTAGATGTGTAGTTTTGAATCCAATTATTCCATTACATCCAATATAATCTAAAAAGAATTTAGTTAGCAAGATTAGCACAACTTGTTGCAGTTGTTGTAAGAGGATTAACATTTACCGAGTCCAAAGTAGTCTATGTCTGGTCTCATATAACTGAAACGGCCTAATTTGTTGCTATCTGGTCCTGTCAATTGGTCTGATCGGCAGATCAGTTCACTTCACGGGGACCATATAGAGGTGTGAACAATTCCGTGGGCTGCAGTAGGTAGGCTATGATGCTGAAAGCTGTTTTAGTGCACTCGAATTGGTCCATGACTCTTGAGTATCTTCAAAATAGGATTTTTGATCTTTCACCTTTCACTTAAAAGATATAATCAGACAGCTGAAAGTTTGCTTTTGAATAATAATTTTGTTCTAGCAATTAAAGTATCAGAATCCTATGGAAGTTGTATTTCATTATGACTGACAAAGTAAAAAGTACAAATGGGATTAGATTGATAAGATCTCTCTCCCTTTCATATGTGGTTTACTGGTTTGCATTTTGGTTATTTAAGTGCCCATTTCAGCTCAGTTTCTCTTAGCCATGTTATGGAAATGATTAATGTACTTATCTTTCTGGAAGTTGGGCTACTATTCTGTACATTCATGAAAGTAAACTCATTTAGATTACCGTATTTACTTGTTTATTTATATTATTTGCCACGTTTCATAATATGCAAGTGCATCATGTAACTGTTTCCACTATTCCTGGCTTTTGGAATGCAGGCAAACACACATGTAAATGTTCAACAAGAGCTAAAGGATGTTAAAATCTGGTAGGTTCTAATTTTTCTTTAATCTGTGTAATTATTTATACTTAGCTTGTTTGTAAAATTCAAAATAGTTACTTATTTTGTTTAATGTTAAATTAGGCGCATACTCTCTTAAAGGGGTTGGAGAAAATAGCTGCAAGTGCAGACATTCCAATGTTGCTGTGTGCGGATTTTAATTCAGTTCCTGGAAGGCAAGTCAGTTATCCTTTACATTATAGTTGATCATTTAGTGCCTTAGATCAGTTACTTTATTTCCGCAGAGCTATCTTTTTTTGGCATTTGACTTCTGCATAATTAGCATGCTGTTGAATTTTATGCAGTGCTCCCCATTCGCTTCTTGCTATGGGAAAGGTAAATCCAGTGCATCCAGATTTAGTGGTTGATCCTCTTGCAATTTTGCGTTCTCACATCAAGTTGACTCATCAATTGCCACTGGTAAACTTTCTTCCATAATGAACTGCTTTAAGCAGTCCCTTGGGTTTTTCTAACAATGTTTTAATGGGGTTTTAAGAACACAGTGGAAACAGTCTTTAGCTGAAATTGGCCTAGGGTTTTATATGAAATTCAAGGGTTATGTTCTGACAAATTAAGGTTTTCAAACAGGTTAGTGCTTACTCGGCCTTTCTAAGAGGAGTTGGTCTTGGTTTGGAACAACAGAGAAGAAGGATGGACCCAACAACTAATGAACCTTTATTTACAAATTTCACAAGAGATTTTATTGGCACCCTAGATTACATATTTTACACTGGTAGGTCAATTCCCTGGAAACCATTTGCTTCATGAATTGTGCACGTATGTGTTTTTAAAATGTTTATGAATGTCTTTCCTCTAGATGTTTGATGTCACTATTAGTGGTTGCAGTTGGTTACAAGTATTTGGCTTTTGTGCTTTCAGCGGACTCTCTAACAGTGGAGTCATTATTGGAACTCTTGGATGAGGATAGCTTAAGAAAAGACACAGCCCTTCTCCAGAGTGGTCCTCTGATCATATAGCTTTGTTAGCCGAGTTTCGGTGTGTGCCCAGGCCTTTGTTAGCTTTGTTAGCTTTTGTGTGCGGTTACAACCCTTCATTTTGACAAAAATATACAACTGAGCTGATGAAAGATAAAAGCATTAGTTTCTGTTGAAGCATACACGCACATGTGCAGAGACTCTATCCAAGCCTTTCTAAAGGATTTGTTTGGTTACGTTATTTAGGTCTCAAGATGTCCAAGAAAATCGGTGAGAGATACTGATGGATACACCGATAAGTTATATATTGTAAGAGATTGTAGATCGTGCTCTCTGTGCTTTAAGGTATCTTATCTATCAGGGATCTCCTTCATATGTTACATTACTCCTTTGGTTTCATAGTAAAATCATTGTGGCCTTTTTCTTTGTTTTCCAATAGTAATATCCACTCGGTTTCTCTCTACTTAAAATTTCTCTGCAAGATAAGGAAAAAGGTGGTTCCTCATTCATCTTTAGTTCCATGTTTCATTTTGGTCTCCAATATCCTCCTATGTACCCCCCTCCCCAAAAAAAAAATCCATCGGTTCTATTTATATCAAGTAAAAATTATATAATTGTAACCGGGAGTAACTCCGGAGGCAACAGCCATTTTGCAGCTAAATATTGGTGTATTTGGGTTAGTCCCCAAAGACTGCAGCTAGGGGTGTATTCGGTTCGGTTCGATTCAGTTTTTTATCAAAAATTGAACCGAACCGAAATAAACGGATTTTTAATATTTAAACCGAAATCGAATAGTTAAAAAAACTGAAAAAACCGAAACCGGTTTTTTCGGTTCGGTTCGGTTTTTTTAACGGTTCAGGTTTTTCGGTTTTTTAATAAAAAAATCACTTGAAACTATAATTTTTTTTTTACAAAAATTACCTATTCAGTTCAATATGGAACAAATGGGTTCCATATAGAAAACCCGAACCGAACCGAAAATCGAACCGTTTAAAACCAAACCGAACCGTTTTACTTGGTTCGTGTCGATTTTTCAGTTTTCTCGATTTCGTTACTCAGCCCTAGTCTGCAACAAACGTGGATTCATTCTAGCCTTTGTACCAGACCTTAGACCAAAAGCGTCAATTTCTACGATTACTGTATACATGCTTCTACTGCGTTTTTAAGATCTTCCATATTTTATAAATGTTGAAAACGAGTTTTCGAAATGTACGTTTTGCTGTCATGGAGCCAAAATGAGAATGCCGAAGTGCAGATTATGGACCCAATTGGTTCATTTTCAATATCATTAATCACCTAACCGGCTAAATGGCTGGTTTCCTAGTGAATGTCCCCAGATGGCAATGTAAATCATGAAAACCGTGAGAATAATCCAGTATATATATATACTCGAACGAAATACAAAATGAAAATATAAACAAGTATAAAGGGGGACCTAATCCCAAGCACTTGTCACCCCTGGAACATAACCTCCGCCATAATTCCCAGGAACTGCATATGCAGCGCCATTATTCTCTCCACATCCACCTCCACCTCCACCTCCACCGTAGTAATCCAGATTCCTACCCACTGACCCCTCCCTTCTGAAATCACGCCCTCCAAAACGCCCTCCTCCATATCTTCTGTTTTTGTTACCACCACAAGGAGCCCGAGATGCATATCGGGTGAGCCACGCAGGTACCTCTTGACTTGCTTCTTGCATTAGCTCAGCTAGCGGCCTTGCCAGTGACGAATTGCCTTCATTAAAGAAAGCTGTTGCCAATCCTGTTTTACCTGCTCGACCTGTCCTTCCAATCCGATGGACATAATCATCAATGTCATTTGGAAGATCAAAGTTGACCACATGAGCTACATGGGGTATATCAAGACCACGAGCAGCCACATCAGTTGCTACTAAAATCGGGGTCTTTCCGCTCTTGAAAAATCTCAATGCTTGTTCCCTTTCCTGCATAAACAAGCCCATGGCAATTATTTAATGACACACTCTTTCTAGAATAGGTTCCATATTGCAACACAACTCAGACCAGCTTTCAACTAAAGAACCTGTCCTGCTAGGTAGTGCAATTACTTCAATTTAAAGTCAAATGGATAAAATTTCACTTCTCTTTAGCAGATGTATTTTTTAACAATTTACCTGCTGAGTCCTATCACCATGGATGGTTGTCGCCGGGAATCCATTAATGCACAACCAATGCTCCAATGAGTCGGCTCCTTTTTTAGTTTCCACAAAAACTAATGTCAATGCTTGCTGCAAAGTAAAAGAGACCAATCAACAACTTTAAATTATCTCGGACCTTTAGGTTCAATGAGACTAGAAAGCAGAGTCAGCACCCTAAGTGGTAGATATTTAAAAAAACAAATATATTTCATGATGGTCTCACATAATCACATTACCTTGCCATGAGCTCCATTTTCCCTCTGTGCATGCAGAAGATCCATGAGATGGCTTCTCTTGTCAGACTCTTGAACAAATTCAACCCTTTGAACAATCAAATCTGTGCTAGAACCAACCCTCCCAACAACCAAGAATATGTAATTTGAAAGAAAATCAGATGCAAGCCTCTGCACAATCACCAATTTAGAAAAGGATTATGTGTTTTCGATATTCTTTCTTTCTATTATTGAAAACTCAAAATCAAGTTAATTACATTCCAGAATTATTCTAAAGCAAAATATAGAAATATCGTTTTTTTTCCTTTTTGCATCAGTAAATTTTGAAATTAACGAGATGATTTCAAGAAACTCGGCAGCACCCACAGAGAAATCCTATTTAACAGTTATAACCAACCTGTATCTCTCTTGGAAAGGTGGCACTAAACAACATTGACTGTCTCGTACCCCGACCAGGCATGTCCATTTGTTCCACTATCTTTCTGATTTGTGGTTCAAAACCCATATCAAGCATGCGATCTGCCTCATCAAGTGCCAAGTACCTTATCATCCGCAAGGACACTCTAGCCCTCTCAAGCAAATCAACCAAGCGTCCTGGAGTTGCCACAAGAATATCAGCTCCTCTCTCCAACTCTCGCAACTAAGTAATGGAATGAATCATTAGTATGTGGAAAAAACAAATATCAGGTATTCCAAAATAGGGGCTTGCAAGGATATTGATAAGCCAGAAATAGATAGAGATTTAGAGGAAAAAAAGATCCCATAAGATCAAAAGAGTGAAGCCAGGCAACATAATTTGGTATAGCGCATAAAATGAGTTCCTTGTTAGATAATGTAAACATGCTAAGATACATATCAACACAATTCATTCTTACCACGTCTTCCAAGGAGAATATATCCAATAGCCTATGAAAAACAAGAGCCCTCACTTATTGAGCAAATAAGTGTGATACTGTATGATTAGACAGAAAATGAAAGCAAACTACATGTTTCAAAACAAATCAACAACTTACTGAGTCAAAATCAGAAATTTGTTCATAGAACAAATATATATTACATACTAAAATCAATTAGTTTAGCATGCGACAGAGTAAATAAGAACTATTCATGCCAAATAACATAGATAATGAATGATATTGGAAACCAAATTCGATGCAGTAGCAACCTGTTGATTAATTGGTGCCCCTCCATAGGCAACTACAACCTTGACACCAGTTTGATAGGAGAACTTCTTCGCCTCATCGTGTATCTGAAAATAGTGATATTATCAGAACCAAAACATATTAAACCATTCTGAACAATCAAATGTTGTAAGAATAGGAATCTCACTTGACAAGAAAGCTCCCTTGTGGGAGAAAGAATGAGCGCGAGAGGGTAGACAGTTCGTGCTACACGGGGTCTCTGTACGTACTTCTCCCGCATAATTCCACTAATAATTGGAAAGCAGAACGCAGCCGTCTTCCCAGACCCTGTTTGAGCACAAGCCATCAAATCCCTTCCTCCTAATACTATAGGAATGGCGTGACGTTGAACCGGAGTCGGTTTCACATACTTGCATCTCCTAATGTTTTGATTCAATTGTTCCCCTAAATCTATCGCAGCAAATGTATTTACAGGCGGTGGCACATTTTCACCACTGGTTTCCACAGGAATGTCCTCGTACGCATCGAAATTAATCCCCGAATTCTCTTGTTCACTAAATGCTTGGTCCCTACCATCAGCTTCATCATTATCGCCAAATGGATTCACTTCCCTTTCTCTCCTGTCCGAACCACAACTTCTATTATTCCAAACGCCGCCGTCGCCGCCTCGTCCAGCTCCAGCATAGCCATACCCCAGACTCTGACGCCGCTCTTCGGGCTTAATCCCTCCGCCGCCGCCGCCGCCCATGTTTGACAGGGACCATTGGGACCCACCAGCAGTCCCATTAAAACTTGTCTTCTCAGAAGCCGCTCCTGAGAGATTGGGTGTGTCGGAAGCAGGACGGTTACGAAGGTGGGGCGGGACATAAGTGGATCGAGTTGGACGACGCAAGGAATTGTTGTCTGAAACTGCAGTTTCAGATGCTACAGAATCCGCCCATGAAGTTCTCATATTTTCCCCAAACCTAAGAAATCCTAACAAAAACCCTAATCGAACCAAAAACAAAAAAACAAAACTAAGAGCTTAATATCCTCCAAAAAAATGTCCTCTTATCTTCTCCTTATTGTAGATCAGACCTTATCAACGAAAACACAAGCAAAGTCAACAAATAAACTTCAATAAAGAATTCTCTTTTTTCAAAAAAAAAATTATGAAACTAATGAAATCAAATATTTTATAGAAAAACATCATGCAAAAAAATTAAAACAAAAAACACTAGAAGTAGAAACCTGGTTGAAATATGTTTAGCAAGATGGGGTCAATAAGCTTGGAATATGTTTCACTCTATGGTTTAAAAACAAAAAACAAAAAACAAAATCGAGGTTTTTTTTTAACAAAGTCTTTTTATTTTCGTCGTCTTTTCTTTTGCTTTGAGCTTGAAACCTAAAGAAACGTGAGAGAGTGAGAAAATATCTACAAAAGATGGTTTAGTGACCGTACAATTTGAGGCTTGCGTCATAATTAAGAGGATCCTAATAACGATGCTTATAACGTTTTCCTAAAACAATTTAGCTTTTAACTTTAATGAAAAAAAAGG